AGCTTTACGTCTTCTCACGACCGAGATAACCACTGAGTGGGGTGTCGTGGGCCTCATCAAAGATACGGTTTTTTATATATCATCGTGAAAAACACAATTCGTGGCGTATTCGTCGAATCGATACTATAATACAGCAGCTCGTTATTCAACGAATATCGGTGTAACTGTGCGCGCAAACGCGCCGACGATTTCTTGTCCAAGTTTCCAAACTCCTTGCTCCCGATAGCCAGTAGCAGCCCTGCGGACATACTGCCACCCGCGTATGCAGCGCTGATCAAATCCGTCACTGACAACGCCACCGCCGTGACATCAGCAAGCTCATAGTCCGGTCTGCGTGACAACGCATCAGCCAAAGCATTCGACTTTCCTGGCTTATGCTTCACCTCGAAGTTATATTCTGCAAAGAATTCGAGCCACCTGGCCATCTTCTGCAAGAGGTGAGTCGACTGAGTCGCAGTGCGTAAGGACACATGATCTGTGTAGATCACAAACGGCTTTGGGCCAAGCAGACGCCGACCGAAGAGCACGGTACACTACGGGGTATGCTCGCAAACTTTGTGAAGACAAAAGTGGAACCCCAGGCATTGGATTAAGTGCACCCTGAACTTGACAAACACATACTTTATCGCAAGTGACTCCTTGTCCTTGACAGGGTAGTTCTCCTCCGCAACCTTGAGCTGGTGTGAGTCGAACGCGATCACCCGATCTTGCCCCTCGGCGTCTGCTTGCAGTAGTGCACAGCCGATGACAAAATTTGAAGCGTTACAGACGACGCTGTAAGGACGATCGGGGTCCGGCAATGCCAGTATTGGTGCATGAAGTAGGCTGTGTTTGACCCTGTCAAAAGCCTTCCGATGCTCGGTGTACCAACACCATTCCGAATTCTTCTTGAAGAGATTTGACAATGGCCGTGCCATTTCCGCATAATCGTCGCTATATTTAAGCAAGGAGTGGGCGAGGCCAAGCCACTTGCGCAAGTCCTTATGGTTCTTTCGAACCGGCCAGTCCACGGTGGCCTCGAACTTAGCGGGATCCGCTCGAAGGCCACGCTTCCCCTAGAACGTGATTTCATCCGCGCCGAAGATACACTTATCGGCATTAACATACATCTTTTTTGTGCGCATGCACACGAGTATCGCTCTCAAATGGACGATGTGGTT